GAAATGACCGCTTTGATTAAAACTTGTATATGTCACTATCGTTAATATTACAAAGCACTTGGTAAAATCATTTTCACGAATCTGTGGAAGACAATTTATGTATTTTTCTGTCCCAGTATGTAGAAAACTTGTATTGACGTGAAACTGGACAAACACATTCAAACATACTCAGAATTTAACAATGATGATGAACAGTCTACTCAATGGTTGTAAATAGGTGTTGAACACAATACTCAGTTCCCGACGGAGAAAGCTGCAACGATCTAGACGTGGGTTTATCTACATCACTGAGTCACACACACGTATGTGGCAGTGTCCATGAATGTCTATTAGAGCCTAGACACAGCCACACAGCACATCGTACGTTATGTGTCTTGGGTATGGATACAATAGCGTAGGCTCTTTCTTTTTCAACTCATATCCACACTCACAAGGAATACGGGGGACGATGAAACTGCCCCGATATTTTAGGTAAGTTTTAAATTATGAAACTGCCGCCGCTTATTACAAAGTATTAAGAAGGGTCGCCTCGCCATACCAGAAATGCTGAAATTGCCCCCGAGCACCCGGCCAGGTAGCCGCTACGGGTCTTGTGAAAAAGAGAATTATTGTTGTCCCTGCGTTCTGTCACTGTCAGTAACTGCATTCTTCTAATAACTACCACCAATATCAGGAATTAGAAGCTTATTTTAGATTAGGTTAGGTTAGGTTAGGTTAGGTACAGAAACAGTTAATTGTGACTTTGCAGGGAAAACAGTCGGTGGTTTTGGAAGACTGCAGTCACTGACAGGACACAGGGACAAAAATAATTCCCTTTTTCCCCAGTCCCGTAGCGACTACCTGGCCGCCGCTCGGGGCAATTTCAGATTTTCTAGTCTTGCGAGGCGACCCTTCCTGAGTTTAATGAGCGGGGAAGTTTCATAAAAGTACCCAAAATGTCGGGGCAGTTTCACTACGCGAATACGAGTACAGTTCACTTTTCTTATTCAAAAATGTTAAAAATACTTTCTAATTTGAAGAAATTTTCATGAAACCTTACCAGCATGATAAAACGTCAAACACAGATACACGAGTGTTTGTTTTGTGCACGATGTGAACATAGGTTTGCGTGCAGTCACAGTCACCAAGGTCGGTTCTTCAACTTGACGTGACGCACATGCAAGCTTTCATCATCTCCACCCTGAGGAAGACTCTGACACACACCACGCACTTACAAATTTGAATATTACACCTCAAGGTTCTTAACTCTTCTCGTTTGTAACTTTCTCTGTAACATCCAAACTAGAGGTCACGAAAGCGAGTTTAGAGGTCTAGCAAATTGTTTGATTTGTTTTACACACGGAATATGATGTAAGGGATTCCTGATTGTTAAATTTTCGTAAAGAGTCAACGTATTATCTTTAAAAGATGTTTTGACAGTTTAAGCATAGATTTAACATATTACTTAATTAAGTACACGTGAAGTTCTTACGTATGAAGTGATGACGTTTAAAATGTTTATGATAAGTCTATGAGATTTATCATAAACACTTTAAACGTCATCACCAGACTTCATATTTACAATGGGATGATAAGACTACTGCAGAATTCATTGGGTCAATTATTTTGAGAGGTCGTAAAATACGCAATATTATAGTTCGATGTTGAGACTCGGCTCCTGCGAATGAGCTTTGCTTGGCGGGGACCTAAATACTAGTGAAATAAATGAAAACGAGATTTAATCCAATACCATTGATGAGTTCATTTCCTAATAAAACGCAATAGTCAAACAATTCAATATGAAAGTGTTTATAAAATGTACAAGTTTGTAGCTGTAACCTTTACCAAGTGCCTTGTACGATGGTCTAGGACTGCCAGAACAATTTATTCACAGCCTCTGCTGCTACAGTGTCGACCGACTGTTTTGTTAACACACCACAATCCCTTGTCAACATATAAAACCCTTATCTGATGTGGCGTTTGTTAGACCTCTTCCGTCATGTGTGGCGCAGGCGTATATATATGTACGTGTGCGTGTGTGAGTCTACACCAAGGGCGGTCTGTTGCATTGACGTGACGGCTGCTGGAAGATCATGTGTAGTTGCATCACAAGACACATGTCAAGGAGAAAGACGCACGCTCACACTAATTTTGGAGATTTTAAACCCCAGGTCTAGATAACGTCAGTTGTAAACGCACATGGAAGAAGTCAGCTATTTGATGTTGGACTTGGAGTAGAATGGTGAGAATAACGTCAGGTTGGGAGCAAATCAGACAATTATATCATCTCAAGAGGTTTTGGATCTGGCTGAATCGGATTTAATTTGGATTTCATCAAGTGAAAAATGTAAGTTTGTTAAATCAGGATTGCCTCAGGATATTCCAAATTTCAAATAAAGTTTAGAGAAAGATAAGGTGAAAATCATTTTGATATCCAAGATGAATTGGATATTTTAAGGACAAATTGAGGTTTCGTTTGGAATAAGATCAAGATGCTTGCTGATGAAAGGTTGAGCTCGAATTTAATGAAAGAAAATAGCGAGGTTCAGAATGATAGGTACAGCATGTTCGTTTTAGATCTCCGCAGTATCAGATAACAAACATAGGTTTGTTTGAGTCAATAATAGCAATAATAGGTTGAGTGAGTAATAGTAGTCTATGTGGGGGAACATAAAGTTTAGATTACTTTTAGACAAAGGCAAGGTGTAAAGCACATTCAGATGAAGTCTTACATGTTTATATCCAAGTCGGATTGGCTTTTTGATGTGGTAAAATTTATGTAAGAATTATGAGGAGGCGGATTTATTGATCAGATCAAGATCGGCGATGGCTATCCAAATTTAGATTGTGAGTCCAGGTGCAAATCAATTCGAATTTGTTACATGATATATTTAAATTTTTTGTGATAAGTGTGGATTTTAATGCGTTTTGGACCACAAAGATCTTCTGAAGCGATGAGTAGCGAAATGCAAATTATCTGCAGAATATTTTCCCCGATCCTGTAACTCAAATCCACTAGTGTTCCACTGAAAGGATGAAATATTTGAATATGATAGCATTTGGTATTTCACAGGTCTGCTGTCTGCTTTAATGGTGGAATGTGGTCAAAATAGCGCTAATTTCTCTGAGAAAGAGCCGCAATTATCAGATTTCCACGTGAAGCTTCAACGCGCCGAGTTATGGTCCATTATTGGCTCTGATGACTTACTAGGCCATCGCCTTCTCTTCCTCCTCCTTCATCTCATTCTGTCTTCTGTTCCTCTTCGGATTCTCTCTTTCTGTTTTCGCGCAATGCTGTAGGTTTTACTATGATAGGATCAATGGTTTTCGAAACAAAAGCAAAGACACTAAGAAGTCCTTAGAAATGTTTGGCGCTTAAACATCAAACATTGTCTTTTAATAATATTTAAGCTCGTTTACTCATCTAAGCATTATCTAATTGTTTGAATATCTTCCCATTTTCATAACTCATTTTTGTATATGTGTACAATAGCTGTTTCAATACGTGGTGTTTGATAACAGTTACATTTTTTACAGGATTTTTATGGGTTTTCATCTTTGACTCATTTTTCTAAAAAGTCAACAAAAAGTTAATTGGAGAACTAAAGAAAATCCTCTTTCAATTAAATGAACAATGGAATCCGAATAATTGCAGAGGACAACTTTCAATTTCAAGAAAGTGGAGACAGGAACTTTTAAAACGTGAATTGATTTAAGGGGCTAGGCTAAGTTATTGAAAACTTTATCCAAGTAAAACTTCAACTATTAAAGGCCCAATAGCAACAATAGCAGGGCTGAGAAACATATATACTCCACATGCATTTAGACATTTGTCTATCGTAGTTTTGAAAAAGTCTCCTTAGGGAAGAAATTTTGTTTTTACTATAACTTAGGATTGAACACTGCTGTTTTTATATCTTGCAAATCGTCTCCCAGGAAAACCCTTCACACAGTTATATTGCCAGTTAACACGATGTTAAGTCAACACTTAACATGAAGTTAACATGAGGTTGTTGAATCTGTTAATAGCTCTTATCTAATATGTGGGGGGACTTCTTGTGGCAGTGAAGTAACTTACTTCAAGAACGTGATGAAGTATAGTTTATTCTTGTTACCTTTTGCTTGTTTAATCCTTTTTTCGTAGAACTTAAATTATTGTTGTTTAAATTGAAGTATTTTTCTGCTCTTTTCCTAATATTTATATTACTGTTTGCATCCGATAGATAAAGGCTACTTTAAAATTACTTTCTCTACTGTTTGCTTGCAAATCTTACTTGCTGTCTGCATCTTAGAAATTACTATATAGTTTTGTAAAAAAATATGGTGGTTACCGTTGAGAATGAATAAAAAATCAATAATTAACGTTCTTTAAACATTACGCAAAGTTGAAAAATTAATTTGAGTGATAGTTATCTAATTTTGTGTAAACAAAATCCATATCAAACGACCCACCTTATCTTTTATTGTATGAATTATTGAAACTATCGGAAAAATATTCAGAATTTTTTTAAAAATTACTGTCTTTAAACACTGTTGATAAATAATAGTTGAGGTTTAAACCCGAGCTTAAATTACAAAGACTGAAGATAAATACTTAAACGACCAAACTCAAAATCAATGCTCTCCAACTTAAAATTGATAAAATAAATAGATGAATCAATCAAATTAATAAATTGTTACAAAAATAAATTAGCTGTTTAAACATTATTCAATCAAATTTGTTCCAAGCCGATCTTTTAGGACAATATCTTATCTTTCATTTTTCCTTTATCCGTACCTAATCTTATTTCTAAAGATTTGAAAGTTCTTAATCCCTCTTAATTTATTTTATGTCATATAATTTTTTAAATTTTTTTTACCCATATTTTTTTATTGGTTATAATTTTTAACCTATTCAAACCTATATTACTTTATACTTAAGACAGTATAACAACAATTAATGATTTGTATGATTGAAATAATATTAGTAACTATATAAAATTATATCTAATCAATACGATTTCTAAAAATGTTATTCTCACCATAAAGATAATCCTATCTTCAACCAAAACTGGTGGTAATCCTTTTCACAGTTTAACTTGTAATCCACACCACTGAAACAAATTTTTAAAAACGTCAATAAATAAACGAACGCGTGTTTTTACGAATCCACAAGCGCTACTTCGCACATCCACGCGGTCTGAGAGCTGAATCACAACTGAGACTGAAACTGAATCTGGCCTGAAGAGGACGCTGGGGTCAGTGGGGAAATTATGGTGCGGCAACGCCAGGCGTACGATAATTGTCGTGTTTGTACGATATTTTTGTTTTATTACAGAGAATAGGCTCAAAAGAAAAGTGATTGTTTTTTGTGTTCCAATACATTTTTCAATATTTATTTTAATTTGACAGCTTGGACTCTATTTAAAAAATATATCAGTATGTTTTCAACCGTCGTAGATGAGATTTTTGTTTTGTTTTGTAAAAGTGACTAAATGTATTTGATAAAAACAGGTATATATTCCTACTAGAATTACACTCCTAGTCACAAATAATTTCTTGCACTTGTATAATTGCAAACTCTTAACGATTGTCTAACTTTATTATTTAAATCAAATAAATGGTCCAAACCTCAATTTTGTTATTACCGCATATATTACCACATGTTAAAAGAATTATTAATCCAGATCGCCTAATGAGCATGTAAAGAAAAATACACATTGCAACTGGATAGTATTTTTACCAATGTCAAGTATGTAAATATTTGTATCAGTAAAATACCATTAATATTACAACAATATAAATAATTTTTAGCACTATATCTACTGTATTGTATATCACAGTAGTTTCGTTTCATTATGCATATCTGTCTCAGATGAATATTTTATACACACTACAGTATCTGCTTTCGTCTAAATAACTATTCAGTTAATTTCTTCTGGTTGTACTGTTGACTATACACAAGATATTGCCCTGCAATTGCATGTCATTTGCATGGTTTTCTGTTGCAATTAAAAATATGATTGCTGAGTTTAAACATATTGATTTTCGCTCTTGACATATGCCTTGGCTCTTACAGGCTTCAGTGCTTCAGTTCAACCACGCGTTGAGGTCTCTTTAGGTACTCTTTCCATCGCATTACGGACGTAAGGAGTGGACAGAATAGAAAAAAACATCATAGTGTAGTTTGTAATGGCTTTTAACTATTTTATAATGCAGTGATAGTGTGTACCCATTTGTTCGGAGCCCACCTAATATGTAGGTCCATTATACATATAACGGTAAATATATGTATAGAATAACGGTAAAGTATAGAAAAATTACATATTATTCGTGTGAGAAGAATGTTTTCCGAAATGTATCCATCACAAGTGATACTAATAATAATAATAGTTTGGATATTATTACCCACAAGGCTGAGTGAGTGTTGAAGTTGACTTCGAGTTTAGAAAATGTACTAATTTTAAACTGCGAAAACGAAACCAATTAAAATTTTACACAATAGAACTGTCTGGTCTGGGATGGCTCCAAATCCATTAGGGAGGGTCTCAACTTGGGGGTTCCCTTCCTTAGATGTCTGATAGATATACAACCTTTCTAGTTTTAGCTCAAGGTTTGCAAAGAAATGTCAAAACTATTTAGGGTGTCTAAGGAATTTTGAGGTGTCAGTTAAAAAAAATAATAAATCAAGTAAACCTAAAGGCAATACCCACAATTATACACACAATTAACTTATTTAATTAACTAAAAAAATAATTAACTTTAAATAATTATTTAATTATTTAAGTAGTCATTCTTTGACGATAAGTATTGACAATTATTTACGGAAATTTTTGATCATATATAAACTACCAAATTGAAAAAAATCAGCACAAATTATTCTATAATATTTCAATACGATTGTAAATTTTTTTAAAGTTTGTCTCTTTAGGGCATATGTTAATCCTCGGCTTCCTATTTAAATGTATTGAAAATAGTTATTTTAAAATACTTTATTTAATAGTTTACACACTTCTATACACAGATTTAAGTAAAGAGGGTTGTTTGGTGTTGCTATATTTTCAATACAGTAGTTGGAAACTGTAAATGAAAGTTGCAATAAGTTTAAATCAATGGGGAAATTTGAACCATCGCGAGTTTTACGACTGACTCTAGATATTTAGACTGTCACTAGAGCATATCATACGTTTTTTAAACACTTACAAAATGTATACCTCGAAACTTAGGACGTCCACAGACATAGGGAACTGGGCATGAATATATCTACGTAAAATACTGGTACATGATTTACAGGATTATACCTTTATGTAGAGCTTCAGCCTAATTTAACGTATAGTAAAACTTTAACGTTTGTTCCGTTATTGCGATTACCCTAAAGAAACAGAAACAGACAAAAACCAACTCTATTTTACAACATGGATAAAACGTAACATGTTTGTCATTGACACCCCTTTGTTTGGATGACTCGGTCAAATGAAGTAGAGTGAAAACACAGTCATCTTGTACAATGGGAATAGTTCTACGCCTCAAGTGGATGCGTTTTACGGGAGTTGAAGAAGAAATCGGCCACTGAAGCGTGTGACCGCAGGGAAGACCGACAGAATTATGGTGCAAACCGTATAAACCGTGGTAACAAAAATGTAAATAATGTTGGGTTACGTGTAAACACTATCGTATATCAGAGAATGTATGCACTAATTTATTGATTCATTTTAACGGTGTTATATAAAAATAGGAAATCGGCGTGAAGTAAAGTAGGGAAGATTATACTAAATTTCTCTTGTTATGACCAATGATTTTCACCTTGTACTGAAAATAATTAAATAATTGTAATAAATTTATCATTTGATGAATCCACTTAATTGATCCGACTGATTTACTATTTATTGCATGCCTGCTCTCCTTTGCTGAGATACATAAGCTTTTTCGTTTTCAAGACGAATTGTCCAACAACTCCTAAACATCTGTCCATGCTGCTATCACATAAATGATTGCGGGATTTGAACCCGGAGCTTTAGTACAGAATTCCCACGCTCTGATCACTAGATGAGCCGCACACTTAACAATCCATAAAACTCTGCAATTAAGGCACCTTCTGTAAACTCCACTATCAATTACTTATAAGTACTATAATTACTTAAGTATGTTAAACACACTACAATCCTAAAACTCGACTTATTCAAATGTTGTTTTCTGTTTTGGCATTTTAAATATTCAGGTAATCTACATTGGAATTCGATAATCAGAAGATGATCTCCTCCCACGATCGGAGAGCAATCTCGGGATCAATGACCCTATTTAATTAATCTGGAGTCCTTTAGAATTCGCTCCCATTGTTGACGACTATTGTCCGCGAGAACCAAAAAGCAGAATCGGCCAACACCTTAGGTTATGGTTGACTCTGCTAGTGAATCAATATTTATATGAGGCTCAATATACGACATGTGTTAAGTAGCAGGTTCGCATATCAAAACCTAGTTTCCGTCTGACTTATTTTAAGTTCAGCCCGAAGAAATAAATAAGGTAGTCGTTATATATGATCATATAACATAACATCCTATAGTGGAAGTCGACTGATTCATCATTAGCATGCATTTTTTCACATTCCAGTCTATTGTTTTATGGAGAGCTTATGCTATGTAAAATAACCCAAAATCAAGATTCTCTTGATTTCAAAGTCTAGTTCATTTCCTATAATCAGTACACTTTTAAATTTTCAAAGAATCCCGTAATTTCTTACCTTTTGCTTCATTAAAGCAAGCAGACCAATGTCTTCTTGTAATCTTCAATTGATCCATCAGATATAATGTTCATGTTTATGATTTATAATCAAATATAATCAAATACAATATAATAAATATAATCAAAAGATTAACAAAGATAACCCTTCTTTTAATTTTAGAAAGTTTTTTTGAAAACCCAAGCAGAATGGCGATTGGCTTTTTGTTTGTTTAGCAAGTTTAACTGTCTTTAATAGTCCTGGGTATAATTTTGTAAAACTACTCAAAATATTAAAAAAAAGTCAACCATTAGTTTCATATTGGAAACTTTTGAAAAACTATGCAGAATGGCGATTGGCCTGTAGTTTGTTCAGCAAGTTTTACTACCTTTCCTAGTAGAGGTTTCATGTGCGCTGTTAACACGTCTGAGGCCGTGCTTGTCTGTCGGTCATATGGAAATATATGTATTTCACCCCTCCCTTCCCCTCCCCTTAGAGCGACGACCTCTAGACACAACAAAACTACGACTGCCTATTGTCAGAGTTCTCGGACCCTACGTTAAAATTATTCACGCTGTTGTATTAGAAAGATGTATTCTTCACGAGTTGTGACAGAAATTAATTATTTGAAACGTAAAATAGTGTTGTGAATCATACTTAAAATTTGATGTTAATTGAAAACATATATATTAAATTCTGAGCTAATTATATTGTGTGGATTTGTCTGCATGCAATATATGACGAAACGGATCAATACTAGGTGGGTTTGTATGGTATTTGGAAATTTCAGGTAAAGATTTGTTGTTCTTTTTGAAAAATGTATTATTATAACATCCTGTAAATTTTGAACAAAATTAGTGACATGAATATTGTCCAGTGTTGCAATAGGTCGTATCATAGACTAAGGAAATTAAAAGACTTTTAATTTCCTTAGTCTATGGTCGTATGCTTGCTCATCATGATCCATTTGAAAACTAAAATGTTAAAAGTGTTCAACATTGCTCTAATCGACCAAATTATCTTTATATGAACATTGAACTTCTTGATTTTTTAAAGCATTACGCTATTAGTCTATTGCAATATTGGTTATAATAATATATTATGTGAACTGTAGTAAATTAATTGATAAAATGTGTAACCTTTACATAATTGTAAACAGACGTTGAAACTATCGTTATCAGCACGGCATAACTTTCGAATGGAAAGTGTTCGAAAGTTGTATATGATAGCTCAACAATCGATTTTTATAAATGATCAGCTGATTGGTTTGACATCCCGATGTGACGCACCATAGACGCACGCATCAAGGAAGGGATCTGCAAGAAACGAGATTGAGTCGTTAGTATCTATTTATCTCTCTATCTTTCTACCTCTTTTCTATGATATTAACAAGTACAGACTTGAATTTTATGCCCATTTGTAGTACTGACATTGGTTACTATCCTAGTCCAGCTGAAGAACAGACTAAACAATTTTCTTTCCACAAAA